TTTAGTAATATTAATTATAATAGGAATTACTGAAATTTGTATTTAGGGTTTTTTCACTGTCAGTCAGTTTCATGTCAATGTCAGTGCACAGGCTTGTGCTTTTATATACTTTTATATTTGTATATGAAAAATACATTAATGTCCTAGACATTATACATTTACTTGCATTTTTCTGTTTTATAGTGCTATTTTACTCTTACCCACACATTCCACTTGTAATCCGTATTATATTTCTTAGTTTACTAGTTTATGTCTTATTTTCTACATACTGAGAAAGTATAATTGTCTTAAAGATAAAATCTTGAGCTCAAGCATAAAAACTATTGTCATTGTTTCAGATGTCTGAGTTGTTGTTTTCATCTTCATTTAAATCATCATTTGAAGACTAAACAATTTGAATTTAAAACCCACGATTCCATGAATGAAAAGCACAAAATATAACTCAGAGCTCGACCAGCATGTTGGCCAATTTTTAGCTATTTGCCAATGAATCTGTATCAGGAAGATTAAGAGATGACGAATAAAAATTAAGAAAGTAAAGGAGAGACAGGAGAAGCACACTCTGACCCCATTATGAGTGTTGATGTTGTTTAGTTTGTCCTCCAAGTAGTGAAGCAGAGGCAGTGAAGGTGCATGACTTTAAATGGCAGGGGTCAACCACAGTGCACAAGAGAAGTGAAGAAGACAGCCAGGGTACAGGGGTTAAAAATCAGTGTGAGTGGTTATTTGTTGACAGAAGGATGGCAATGGCAGTGACGACTTTATTTATATATCAGATTTTGTAATACTTAAACTACTTATACTTAAACCCACCTCTTAATACAGAAGATAAAAACATAAACACATAAGTAGGTTTGCAGTGTATTAAGGATAGCAGCAAGAGTGAAAGGGAAGGTTTAGTGAGACCTGCTGTGATGTTTGTTTCAGAGACACTGCTGCTGACAAAAAGACTGGAGGCCAAGCTGGAGGTGGAAGAGCTGAAGATATTAAGATTTTCATTGGGAGTGACCAAGATGGACAAGATTAGAAATGAGTGTATCAGAGGGACAGTTCAGTTGGAGCAATTTGGAGACAGACAGGCAAGGTTGAGATGGTTCCAACCTGGGAAAAGGAGGGATAGTGGATATATATCAAAGAAAGCATGTTGAAGATGGAACAGGAGGACATGCAGAGGGTTGGTGTCAGAGAGGATGCTAGGAATAGGGCAGGTTGGAGGCAGATGATCCGCTGTAGCGACACCTAAAGAAGAAGCAGAAAAAGAAGTTAACACTTCCTGAATCAGAAGAATCCAAGCTGAAGTACAGTAGGTTCCTGAAATGATCCAACCATTCCTTCATCTGTCTATCCATCCATTCTCTTACACTTATCCGATTCAGGGTTATTGGGGGGCTGGAGCCTATCCTAGCTACCACAGGGTGAGAGCTGGGGTACACCCTAAGCAGGTCTGCCATAGTGTTTAATTGTGAATTTATCTTTATTTGAAATCCACACACATTGTCCGGAATCACACTGACACATTAAAAATCTGCATCAGATAAATTATTCTGTTAGCTCTGACTTGAACACGTGAATTGTCAGGATAAATACTTCCACATGCTGTATAAAAACATCCAAATATAATAGAATTCGGCAGAAACACCAGTACAGCTTGTGTTGAGTGTGTCTCCCTCTTCTGGTTGACACTGTGAATTGCCTGTAGCCCTGACATTGTGATGGCTGAGAAACTGAGTAAGGTCATGAATTGGACACAATGCCAAACACTCCTTCTCCCATTGGAAGAGCAGATGGCAGCTCCCCAGTGCACAAGGCAGGGAGATGCCACCACCAGACGCTCAAGGGTGTAGAAACACACACACGAGCACAAGCGCATTAACATTCTTGGTATTCATGCATTTGTGTGCGCACCAGTAGTATACACTCGGAGCACCGAACGCACACACGCGGACTCGTGTCTAGGACCCAGCTAACAGAGGCTTGACCTAAATTCTTTAATTTCCCATGTCTGAGGGTTGAATTGTCTCTTCGCCTTTCTGTCACACAGTGAAGTAAAGTTGTGGCAGGTTTGCATCATAAGCACTCACATCTCTGGTTATATGTCACGTATATACATTATCTGCCAAGCTTTATTTTGTTTAGTGACAGTCATAGTAACATGCAGTGTCTACCAGTCCCATTGAGTCATGATAGTGAACTCAAGGCACCACGTTACCCAACGTTTCCATGTAAATCTAACTATAATATCTACTTTTCCACCGTAGGACAGAATGAACTATAGCTTGAACTTGAATGATTAATGTCATTATAAAGTATAAGCCTCTGTGACATGCACTGGTAAGCATCCCTATTTAAACCAAGCCTTCTAATAATAAACACTTCATTAGCACTTTTGTTAAATACGGATGCACTGCAATGATCGTCTGCTCAAAACATACAGGAAATGTCAATTAGCAGACAAATTTGCTGTGTGTATTTCACCACATATCCTCGATTAGAGTGCTTGAGATCCTGGGCATTTAGGCACACAGATTTGTCACGTTGCCTCCAATACATAATAATAATGCGGCTATCAGTGTCAGTTTGAGCCATATTGGTTGACACACTGAGAAGGGTATGCTAAGCTTAGCTGAGTGGCGTGTCACGGCAGGATATGAGGCAGTTAGCTAATGTGGTGTAAAAGGATTTAGAGGATTTGACCCTATCAGCGGAGATGGCACTCAGAAAGGCTCTGTTAATGACACTAAATGAGTCTGTGCCTGGAGCATGCTAATAATGGTGGAAATAAAGTCAGTTCATAATTTATATGGAGATTTTTTTTGTTGCTTTTTCCTTTTTGGCAAATGGTTAATTGCAAAAAGTGTGTCAACGTAGTGCATACTTTTAAAGGTGAAGTAACACCAAATGTTTCTGTGCCTTCTCTGAAACAATGAATTGTAATAAACTCAAATTGCCCTTCAAATGAGGTGTAATTTTTAGGTGAGCTGCTTTGTCATCACTTATTGCCTGTCTCACACTGCACTGTGCCATTATCTGATTTTTATGCATGTTTGTAACTCTCCTAAGGTGACAATAGAGATTTATAGCAAATATTTCCTCGCCATTTCTCCAAAGAAACTGTCTGATTGATAGAAACTATGACAGAGAAGAAGAAATGTCTGTTTCTGGTCTGGTGGTTGATTTCCAATTTGACTTTCAAATTTTATGAATAGGAAAGTGGTATAAAAAGCCATTAACTGCTAGGCTGACAATTCACATTAGCTTTCTCAATATGCAAACTGTGAATGACAAAAATTAAAGAGCAATGTTATTTTGACAATTGTTTTTTATGGAATGTGAGTACCTGACTAAAATTCAAATGAGGGAGTGATGGTTTTTATCTGGCCCGAACCCAAAACCTCCGTAGCAAACAGCAGTCTGCGTTTGTGCAGAGCGACTGTAAGTTAATACATTTTCAGGGAACTGTTGTTGTCCTGCAGAGCTGACTTTGTCTGAAAGTAATTAAGATTAAATGTACTGTGCTGAACATAAGATTACGTTTTAACAGTATTATTAGTTTTCCTTTCATCTGCTTCGGAGGTAGTCTCTAATATTAAGACATCCATATTTTATCCCAGTTTACCTCCAGTTTACAGCGTGATATCATAATATACTAACAGTATTTATTAAAAATGGCAATTAATTCAGTAGAAATGTACGTGTTTATTAGCTGTCTGCCAAAATGTACAAAGAATTATTCCAGTTATTAATTCACTCGACTGCACCAGCAGAGATAAGGAAGCAGCATGCTTTAAAAAGCTGAAATGTAATGTACTTACAGATGTATTTACAGATGCTCGGTGGGCTTGTTTACTATTCTTGTGGCTTAAAAAGTTAGCAGAAATTGAGTAATAATAATTACACTATTCAGCTATTAATAAATACATATCCACACAGGATAACAAGCCTAATACCTGTCACTATCACCTTTGCATGATATCCCTCCATTATAATCGTTCATGGTCCATGACGAGAAGCGCCATTCTTGCTGTCCTGCCAGGCAGGGCATTGGCACAGGTTGACTAGGAGGACAAGAAGTTGTAGCTGCCAACTCCTGCCGCCCACCGCCCACTGGTCAAATCCTCTTTTACTGGTTTCACTATGACACTCTGCCCGCCATCCTTGGCTCACCATGCAAAGCTAGGACAGGAGCTTCAACAGTCATGCCAGGGATACCCATTGGAGGTGGGAAGTGGAGAGAGAAGTGACAGTGGAGGAGGAGAGGGAAAGAGAAACAGATGGAATAAGAGAGAATGATACAAGCTGAAAGAAAGGGCTTTTACAGAGATTTGGCCATTGTGTATCACAATTTACCTGGAGGAGATACAGTGAGTCAGCCAGAGACAGCAGGTAGTGTTGTTAACTATAATTTTTTAAACTGCCTTAAGTGTGTAATATTATGTTTTGGATTTTTTTTTTATTATTATTATTAAAGGAAAGGCCACAAAATCAAATCTTCTCATGTCTGCATTTGTTTGTGGGTGCTCATGAAAGGAAATGTTTGTGCAATGACGATTGACCTTTTTTTTCTGAATGTGATTAGGCAGAAAAAGGAGATATTTGTTTGCTGGCAGCTGCAAAGACCCACATAAATGCAGAGGCGTCTCAAGTAACTCAGCGCTGTCAGCAGTTTTCTCCTACTGATAATCTATGCCCTGACCCACAAGCTACAGCGCGGCTTTGTTTAACATGTTGTGTTTCTATCCATTTCTAGCATTTTAACACAGATGTTCACTGTGGGAGACAGTGGGAAGCTGGCTCATTCACTGTACAGACAAAAAAATGCCTTCCAGCTACTCTGTTTTAGTCTGGTTCAGCACAGAAGTGGGCGTATTTGTGTGGCCATGCTGATATGGATGGTTGAGTTTGAGTGTTTGTGTTATGTGTTTTGTACAGTGCTGTATTAATCAGCTCTAAACCTTTTTCCTTCTGTCTTTTGTGTTGGGTTGTTTGTCTCTCTTTTTTAGGAAATATCTTTAAAAGAATCTCTCTTCTGGCCTGGAGGTCTTCTAGAGGGTTGGACCTCCTCGCCATCATGAAAGGCTTAGGGACCAACCGCAGCAGACACCTGTCTGATTCCTGCGACCCTTCTGCAGACCATTCAGAGGCCCTCTTTTCTCATAAGACCACCACACTTCCTCGCAGCCCTTATTTGCTGAGTCCCACAATGGACCACTATGGCACCATGGACCCCCACCTTTACTCTTCAGCCAACCCAAGCTCCCTTCCACCAGAATGCATGCTGCCCCTCAACAACCAGCTGTCCAACAGCAGCACCTTTCCTGGGATTCACTACAACTCCTATGACCAGTCTGATTTTTCTCCTCCTGGGGACAGTATCGGAGGAATAAGCACAGGGACCTTGGGGACCTCCATGTCCATGGGCATGGGGACGGGAATGGGCATGGGCATGGGCATGGCAGGGCTGAGCGCACGAACACCTATGATTACAAGTGGCTCAGCAACAATATCACATCATATGACCAAGAACCAGACCCCACCAAGTCTGCTTGAGTTTGATAAACAGTTACCTGGTGGCCGTGATGGATTCAGCACATTGCAGTTTCACCGAACATCTGCTGCTGCTGCTGCCAAGCAGCGTACAGACAGTCCTGGTCGTATTCGTTACATGCTGCACTCAGTGCAGAAGCTCTTTGCAAAGTCACAGTCCCTGGAGAGCCACAACATGAAAGGAAATGTTAACGGACGGTCGACCGGCAGTGGAGGAGGTTCGTCTAGTACGGAGGATGGAGGGAAGCACAATCGCAGAGCCAAAAGTAAAGATCGGGGTACAAAATCAGAAGCAACTGCCAAGCGACGGCCACGCTCCAACATGTCGGGCTACTGGAGCTCGGACGATCTGGACAGCAGCGATTTGAGCAGCTACCACAACACCATGGCCATGATGACTCTCGGGCGTCCATCTGGCCCCGACAGCCACGGGGGGCAGAACAGATACATCCACAGTGGCTACAACACTATCAGCTCATCTAAAAGCAGCAGTGACTTAAAGTATCAGGCACTTCCTGGGCCAGGGGGTGGAGGAGGTGGTGGATTAAGTGGACTAGGTGGATTAAGTGGACCAGGAGGTTTGATGATGAATGATAGTGACTATATGAAAGGAGGGTCATGGTCCACATTAACCATGGGTCAACCAAGACAGGTTATTCAGAAGGGCTCAGCTACTCTGGACAGGTCCATGCTCAAGTCCAAGTCCTGCCAACAAGAACTAACCTGCAACTACCTACAGGTTGGAAGAAGGGTGAGTAGCCCACAAAGTAGAGTGGATAAAAAATTATATTCTATCTATTTGTTGAGTGTTTACTGTATGTTTATATAAGCTATTACCATCAAGGGAAACACTTCAGTGCTTAGATAACAACATAGATCGTTAAAAACTGACTGAAGACTCATTTTGTTCACTTAATGGTGGCTATAGGGTGACTGGAGCAGCTCATTAAGTCGCAGCGGGGGTGCCAATGAAATCCCATGCCGGCGGATGCGGAGTGGTAGCTATGTGAAGGCAATGGGAGACATGGAAGACAGTGATGACTCTGAGGGAAGTCCCAAACCCTCACCAAAAACTGCTGCTCGGCGTCAGAGCTACCTCAGGGCTACCCAGCAGTCTCTGAGTGACCAGTTTCCCCCACGCAAGTAAGGGCACAAACTGAACTATGGTTTATTACACATTAGCATAAACAATAAGGGAGAAACCATTTACATACAAACAAGGATCAAAGAAGAAGAAGAAGAAGAAAGCGTATGGTTACTGTTCATGAGAACAACTAGAGACCATGTCTGTTTCCACAGTCATGATAAGCTGGGAAAAATACAACATGTTGTTTTTAATGCATGACTATAGTCAGAAGAAAAGTTACTGTTTGGCCCTTTAAAATGTATGTAGCCCCCCCCCCAAAAAAAAAAAAAAAAAAATCTGCTGATTTTCAGAGAACGCCCAAAACACTTATTAGAACACACTGTTATAAATACTGATTGGCAAAAGCTCTTAACAATCAAACAACAGTAAAAACAAAAAAAAAAACTATGGATACATACTGAAGCCCAGCCTCAGAACAGACACACACACACAGGTGCACACGTGTACACACACTCCACGCTGCGCTTACTCACGCATAGAAGTGGTGTCAGACTCCCTGCTGCTGTCCACATGTCACTCTTACTATCATACCTCAGCTGTGATTTACCTACATACTATTGGCCATAGAAAGCGTCACTAAGATAATACGCTATACAGTAGTGCAGTTTACACAATACGACACTGACTTTTGCTTGCGTTCAGCCAGTAAATCAGCACAAATCAGCCCAATCGCTTTGACTAAGTGGGACTGTGGCTCACTTGCCTCTGAGTGACATGGTTTCTGGAGCAAAGCATTGCACAATGTGTGATGCAAGCACAGTGGGACATTGCTAATTGACTGTGCCTTTTCATGCAAGGCCAGAAAATATAGTCATATTGTTTCATTTTTATCCACAGCGATGTTACACTAATCTAAGCCACAGCTGTCGTGCTTTCTAATGTATAATCAACTTTTCAAATATTGACTTGTTAGAGAAATGTATAGAATTTTAATACCCCACGATAACATCTTTTCCCCCAGATTATCATGCTTTGACAAACTTTAGTGTATTTTGGACTTGTTTTTGTCAGTGTCTATTACATTCATATACATACATGACACAAACCTTGATGCAATAATGTGTTGTATAGTTTCCTTTTGAGGTATCTTATGATTCTGGTTGGATCAGAGGCAGGTTGGGGGGGGGTTGTTGTTGATAATCATGGGCACAGCTTACCTACCGAACACACCGAGCAATTTAAAAATCTAGAATTACGCTTGAATGACTTACCCTAATACCCCCCTGCTAATTCCTGATCGTCCAACCCTACTTTCTTCCGTTCTGCGCCTACCTGATTGGCGTGAGCAGCAGAACCCTGGAATACACCTTTTTGCAAGGGGAGCTAGATGCCCTGTGGTCTCCACTCCACAGTGTGTCCTCTCTGCACCAGCTGGGCAGGTCAATGAGCAGGTTAGTGATAGGTCTGCAAGCCACTTCTCAGGGGCGCGGTGCAGAACACTTCAGATCGGATTGGTCTATGATCAGTGACTTTGCACTGCCCCCCTCAGATGTCTGAAAGTGGAAACTCCAAATGCAAAAATTCATGTCCTGCTGCCAACAACTGCTAACCTCCCGTAAGCTTGTAAATACCATCTGTCCAGTGCTTTTAGGTGGAAAGTAGCTTCAACACTATTCAAATTAGGGAATGAGGGGGACATCTGTGTCCATACACTTTGCCATGGCATTTTACTGCCATGTCACTATCACTGTGTGCCAACAAAGAACATGTATAACATACTATTTTTAGCTTAATAAAAACCTAAACATGTTTTGTCTTGGCACCATGATGGCATAGAACGCTGTGCACTGTACATGCCTCGCCTGACATCATTGGCTTTGCATGCTGGGATGCTAAAATGACTAATGCTAAAATTAGATGAAACAGAGATGAGATTTGGAGCATCAAAGTGGGAATTAAAGGGATGACTTCAATAATAAACTTGTCCTCCTTTTATCTCTCTTTCAATTTCTGGTTTTGCTGGTCACTCATTTTCTCCCTTGATCAACGTTTTCCCTTCTGGCTCTCTGTCATCGTGCATTAGCAACAGCATATCCTGTTTACAATCATTTTCTATCAGTTTTTCTACTTAGACTTCATATCCCTAAAGGATATCTTTTGGTTACTTCCCTTCCCAGCTGTCTTCCAGCTCTCAGAGAGTTCTCCAATAATCGCAGCCTAGACAACCTAGACTGTATTGGGAGTATAGGCTCATCTTTGCCACCATGGGACGACGATGACTTCAGCCAGGCTTGCAGTACCTTGGGCAGGCGCATGGGACAGGTCAGTGTTTTCCTAGAAGACTGACAGGGAAAATGTGGCGTCTCTTATCTTTCAGAGGTTAAAAAAATGTTTTCCATTTCTGTCTGTGTCTCATTTGCTTCCATTATCTTCCTAATGAGTTCCGAGTGCATTTGTTCTCAATCATAATTTACATCATTTGGCTCCTGGCAAACTTTCTACTCTCACATCACCAGTCAAAGACCCTTTTGTCTGCCTCGAGCTACACTCGTTTACTTAGTATAATTTACATTTTCACAGATACAGCCCGAACGGCTGTAATCAAACGAGCTCCCAGCGAACAAAGATTCCCTATTTTCTGACTGCATCTCACTGATAGTTTAAATTTCCAGTTCGTCCACTTACATAAGAACTATTAGCCTCCCAATGTCAAGGTCGGTGAGATGATGAACAACTGTGCAGCGTGGCTCTGATCTTCCTCAGTGAAATGAGGCAGTGCAGGCTATTAGTACAGGATTTACAGCCAATCTCCGACAGCTCACTCACTGCATTACAACACATTCGCCCAGTATATCAATTTAGGGATTGAAATTAAATGCACAGTAGCTAGCCATGCAAATTCATTATGCATTATATTTTTAACTTAGTGATGGACTTTTTCCAGAGCAGAAAAATTCAAATTACCTGAAACATTTACATGATTGTGCCAATGTGTGCTGACACTCACCTTTAGAAAAGTCAGAGCAAAAGCTGAATTTATATGAGCATTGAGTCACTACATGAAAAAAATCACATCTGTTGCCTTATTGTTTTTTTGTTTGTTTGTTTGTTTGTTTGTTTTTAGCATTATTGTTGTACAGTTTTACGTGAGGAAAAAAAATTAAATAACGGTGCAGATCACTAGAAGAAAAAATGACTTTAACGCATATAAATATAGCCTATAAAATAAATCAGTCTAATATATCATTATTGGACATCATAAAAATGCATTTATAGCAAATTCTACATACCTTTAACCATACAGAGCAGCTGCAGTGAACAAAATAACTACTGCTACATCAGTGCCAATCTTTGTTTTGTTTTTTTTCCTTCACTCTAGCTACGAGACCTAGAAAGGAGCCATCATTATGAAGACCGCAGCTCAGATTCTACATTTAGAGATTCCCGTTCCCATTCTCAGGACAACTCAGAGCCTCCAGACCTACCCATGCCAACGTGCTTCCGATCCCGCAGCCACAGCTACCTGAGAGCCATCCAGGCTGGCTGTTCCCAAGACGACGAAGTTGCATCCATTGACTCGGGCTGCTCTCCGCCTCCCATTGACACCACGGTTCGCACCTACAGCACCAGCACTGGTAAGTCCCAGACTGAAAAACTGATGGTAAATTGCAGATTTTTTATAAAACAATATAGGAAGAGTCATTGCCACAAATCACAGTAATGTGTTCCCAAACTGATAAAACCATTTTCTTTCGCTCCTTTTCAAGTATGACACAATCACATTAGCCCAAATTCTTTGCTTTGCTTTGTGTTTTCCATGGTAGTAGTTTGAATGTTCATTATAACCTTGGTCTTTGGCGGGCAACTGATCCTCCAGCATGCACACAGCGTTACATGCAGCTCAAATGCAGCCTTTTTTGCCCATGCTAGACGAACTTTCTGGACAATGGAAGACATGGAAAGAACAGTTTGGCTCTTACCTGAGAGCCACAGGCTTGGACAAAGAACCAAAGGAGAAACAACTTGCAATTTTTCTTCAGCGTTTTGGGACAGACAGACCACACATCCTACCCCCACGCACAGGTAACAATGTGAAACCAACCCCCTTTCCCCTTAAAATCATTCTATCCATTTACCACTTCATGAACTACAAAGAAAAATAAGTCAATAAAATGTTTATCAGTACAAATATAAAGTTGTCAAACTGCTGGACAGAGACTAGATTAAAATCATACTCTAAGTATACATTACTGTGTAACTTGTGATTACAGGACATGGTAGCACAAGAAGACAGTGAGCAGTTTGTTTGCTAACCTAACTTTTAATTTCACAGGAATGTTTTACTGGTTGTTGGCATCTCAGTGGCCCCTGACCATATTCCTAGGCTATTGGTTACTATTAAAAAACAAACAAAAAAACAAAAAAACATCCACTTTGTGGCGCTCTTCACACAGTGTGTAAGTTAGACAACATGCTGCCTTCAAGGTAATGAAACTTTTCAGTGCTACTTGGGGATTATTCTGTAGCTTCAGTCTACATATTTTAGCCAAGGATTTGTTTTTTGTTTTTTTAATTAAACGTGTTTACTTGTGCATAAACACAATAGGAAAAATTAGCTTGTCTGTTGTTTTGTTTTTCAAAAAATATTGCATTAAAAATTACAAAAATTAAAATTACATTTGAGAAATTAAATCCAATTTAATTTCTGATTATCAGAGTTTAGAGTGTAGACATCAGATAGAGTTGTTTTTTTTGTTGTATAAGAAGCAATCAGATATTTTTCTTAAAAAGGGTCTTTGTTGCAGTTATACTAATACTTAATTTACTTGTGCAAAATTTAAGGCATTATGAATATGGTTGTGTAAAGTATATTTAATGTCCAAAAGTGTCTAGAATTGCATTTTAGAGCAGTGGAACAGAATTAAAACTAACACTTTCATTGGCAGCAAGCCTGTGATCTTGCTTTTTCTAACTTTACAGTAAGAAAAAGAAAATTTCATTTTAGATCTAATTTTATTTCAGCTGTTGTTATCCTTACTGTATTTTTTATGTCTGAATTTAAAAAAAAAATAACATAAAATAAAATAATTTTTAAAAAGTTGTAGGACCTTGCCGATGCTATTATTAGCATTAAAAGAAAAGAAAAAGAAAAAAGCTTTTGGTCTTCTGACGGTGGTGATAGAATGTCCGAGGTGCTCCTGAAGGCATCAAGTAGAGCGACCACCACGCCTCCCTGGAGCTCAGAGAGACGCTCCGAACAAAAGGCAACAAAACCCGGCTTTTCGTTTCCACAGGCGTGACAGGTAGTGCGTGTCGACAGCTGTCATTGAAACAGTCTAAGTCTTTACTCAAGACACTTCGTGTTTTTTTTGACTGCGCTGTGAGAATAGGGTAAGTAAACTAACCGTTCTCAGCTTACTGTTTACACGTTATCATCAATTAAGCTCAAGTTTGGTGTCCCGGCTTTTTCGGTGACAGGATGACGGTTAGCTGTTGCCCACGGAAACGGACGTATGCTTTGTGGTGTTAGGACGATAACTGAGCATTCCAGTTGATAATTTGTGCTGGATAAGTGCGGTGTTTCTGAGCATAAGTCTAAGTGGACGGCTAAATGTATTCACTTGTCTTCATTAAAATTGGCCTGCACAGGGGGATTATTTAAGGGCTGCCCCAATATTCGCCCAAATGTTGGTTTAGAGCCCTTTTCAGGTTACATTTAAGGTTCTGCAGTTTTGTAACTGTGAAAAATCTTTCAGTGTCCTGATGATGGTTTCCATGACAAGGGAGTGGTGGTCATGGTTACAGGCAGTGTTGTGTGTTTCTTGTGATGTTAATGAATTAAACTGTACATAATCCATACTTTGCTGATAAACCCAGCATCACAGTTCACCTCATGCTGTTTCTGAACCATAAGTGTCACTTGAACCAGTTGTTGTTACTGATCCAGTGTTTATATTGGTTTACGCTGAGCTGGAGCTGTCATCCACTATGTTCAGTCTTTCCAGTCTTTATTGAGAACGTGGTTGTGTTTGGATCCAACCTTATTGCCCTCAGCTTTTTTCCATCCTGGTTTATTAAAGAAGCATTTTGGGATGAAGATTAGTGTGTTCTTTAGTAAAGTTGTGTACCCTTTAACATGATGGATTATATGCTGGATTATAGCTGGTGTGCTGGTATCTTAAGGCTTTGATTTTTACCTTGTTGTGTGCTTAATTATTTAATTACTATTGCAATATTCTCCCTGAGAGGGAACTTTAACTCACTCAAGCTTCTAAAACTAATTGATCAAATGTTCCAAACCCGATGGTGGGAAATGCCCTTCAAACAGTGGTGGCTTTGTGGGAACTACCAAATAGTGAAAAGATATTGCTGTTTATCATGTAGCACATGTCCTATTTTTCTTTTCTCTCAGTTTGGGATTTATTCTTTATTCTTTAGTTAAAGTTTAATTAATTGGGATGGTTTTTAAAACTGATTTATATCCTCCTAAAACCTCAGCAATTCTTTTTTTGTCCTCTGTTAGGGATATGAGTCTAAGACCTCTACATTAAGCACCATGAATGCAATCTATACAAGTCCTACTTTACTGTCAAGATGACATCCTGGTCTTTCTATTGATCCTAATTTGTTCTCTGTCAATTAAATTTCAATCATACTGAAAACTGGTTGAAATATTTTTTTTGGATGAAACATGAAAACAGGACAATACTGACTGAGACCACCAAAGAGGTGGTCCTCAAGCTACATCAAGCTGAAAATGGGCGACCAGGTTTAAATAAATAAATGTCAAAACACACAAACCACCTGTCAACGTTTATCTGTGAAGGTAGCATTAAAACCAAACATTAAAAACACCATCTTAAATCATTCTTCAGCATATCTGGTTTCACAGCATGACTGTGCTCTAAACCTATGCTCTAAATTTACTGGCTCCTAGTTATAGATCGAGACAGATTCTTCAAGTTTACGCACTCCAGAGTAATACTTGATCTTCATGCCTCAGATAAGGACGAAAAAAATAAAGCCTTCTGAAAGGTAATGTAACAAGGCTGCCTCACTCTGCTGAGGCAATGGAAAGACGATTTCCTTCACAGGCCAGTGTCTTGTGCAGCAGAGCCCTACTTTTTACAGAAATTCTTATCAATACAGTGGGGGAAATAATTATTTGATCCAGTACTGAATTTGTAAGTTAGCTCGCTTCCAAAGAAATAAACAGTCTCTAATTTTTATGGTAGTTTTATTTTTAAAGGAGAGAGACAGAATATCAACCAAAAATCCAGAAAAAACACATCAAATAAAAGTTACAAACTGACTTGCATGTCGTTGAATGAAACAAGTATTTGTTCGCCTACAACGCAGCCACAATTCTGGCTCCCAAAATTTGTCTATATGCTCATATGACAAACAAATTACAGTATATTATAGATACTACTAATCTCAACCTGTTTTGTGTACAAAGCACTTCTGTCAACAGAATCAATTTCTAACATTCCAACCTTTCCACCAAAGTGGGCAAGACCAAAGAGGTGTCAGAGTATGTCACGGGAACGCAAGACCATCAACAAGAATCTTGATGAGAACGTGACAACTGCTCGTGCGATTATTCAGAACTGGAAGAAATATAAAATCGGTCACAATCATGCAAAATTTTTCCTCGTAGGGTGAAGATGATTATGAGAAAGATGGTGGATCAGCCAAAAAACACATGAGAGGAGCTTATTAGTGATCTGAAGATAGTTAGGACCTCAGTCACCAAGAACACCATCACTAACGCACTAGACTACATAGGAATGTAGTACCATAAGTTTCTCCTGCTCAAGAAGTTTGACAGTGAACTTCTAACTTCTAAATAATTCAGTGAAAATTTGGCAGAAAGTGCTGTGGTCAGATGAAACTAAAATCAAGCTCTTTGGCACCAACTTGACCCGTCATGTTTGAAGGAAAAGAAATGCTGAGTGCAATCCAACGAACACCATCCCCACAGTCAAGCAGGGAGGTGGAAACATCATTTAGAGCTGTTTTTCTCTTAAGGGTACAGAATAACTTCACCGCACTGTTGGTTGAGAAAACTACCATAACTAATAGAGACTGTTAACCTCATTGTAAGTGAGCAAACCCACAAATTGAGCAGCAGATGAAATAATTATTTCCCACACTGCTATTGTGTCTCAATTGAAGATGAATCTATTTTTTTTAACAACAACAACAATTGATGCAACATGTTGCTTTCAACCATAATGCTGAAATTATCTAAAAAAATCTAGATATCAAAACATTTTTTCAGCGACCTGCTTTTTTTCTCTCTCCTTTGTTAAACTTTTTACTCCAAAGACCAACTATATGTTTTTAATTCAGTGCATCCCTGTTGAAGGTTATTTTGGCAGCAGTTTTTGGCTTCATGTCTGTTTTGTAGCTCTTTTCTGCAGTTCTGAACAAAAGCTTAGGGTTAGAAAGAGCTGGCTGCACTTTTATTATACGATTTAAAATAAGATGTTTCTGTTTCCACAGCTGTGTATACCTGTGTGGCTGAAATCTTTAACCTAAGCAAGTGCAGGAGACAGTCTGATGAGAGAATGCGCTACTTGCTGTTCCTCTGTTGTTAATGCGTTTCTGCACTGCACTCTTTCTGATAGCAACAGGCTTTCTACATCTGTTTTCTATGCTATCATACAGTTGACTTTTTACACTTTGCTCATTAATCTGTATGAACAACAGTGGATTGTGTGGGTAAACTCTAGACTTGTTAAAAACCGGTTGGGTCACTCGTGTGGTTATGGATGCCATTGCTAATCTGTATGTGGAGGAATCTGCAGTCTCGTGGGAACACTGTGGCAGCGACGGTACTCAAAAAGACACGGGAAAAAATGTTTGACAGTTTGTCAAGTAGACGCAAGGTTCGACACAAGGCCTTCCTACCACTGTCCATCTAAAATATACCGTCTTTGGAATTAATGTTATTTATTTGACAACATACTGATTGTATTTGAGTGTCCCGTTTGTTGTGCGCAGCTCTGCTGATTTATCTCCTGACTAATCTCAGAGGCAGATGTCAGTTATGACAGTTACGTGAGTAAAGCAGATTCAGCGGCATTAAGAGTTAAGAGGGTGAATTCTGGTCAGATGACGAAAGCGTGATGTGACACTTGGAGATCTGCGGGGCAGGTGTCCAAACACAGACATGCACACTATCTATGCCCTCTAACACCTCGTCACGGTGACAGTTACCCCGCACGCTGGGATGCATTAGTATTGCCAGCGCACCACATCACACGCTGTGCTCTGCCTAGTGTCTAACTCGCGTTAGAAAAAGGAGAGGAAACGGGGACTTTTCAGCTGTATCAGCGAGGATGTTGGTCATTCTTGGTGGATAGTGACATGCATAGCTATGATGAATGTTAAAGTGAACGTTTCTTGAATGACATTTGTTTGACAGTGTTTGTGTGGAAAGATGCCAGACACTTTACAGTTTTTGTTTTGTGAGCTTTTAGGCTAGCTCAGAGTTGGTGCCTTCCATCTTTGAAATGTGTGTTTCAATGCATCAACTATCAATGCATCAGGTCAACAAGAAGAACCGTTACAAGTTTTTAAGGCTGATGCGGAAACTCGGATCTGATATTTGTTAAGCTCTACAAATGGCTGATTATGCAAAAGTCAGCAAATAATTGTGCTGAATAATCGTGTTCTCAATATTGACCGTTATGACTATTCAGGCTTTCGCCATATTGGCAACACCAGTGGATCCTTTATTGGCAGTTTATGTTTCCTATTAGGAAAGGGTGTGTGAAAGGGTGTGCATGTTCGCACTCCTGTCTGTGAAAGGAAGAAGACACGCTCTATGTCTGGAGGTGGGCCAGTTTAGGTGTGGACTGGGTATCATCTCCGCGGTTTATTAATGCTGTCATTGTTCAGGCTTCTCTGGAATGTCATCTTGAGTGCATCGCTGTTTAGTGTCACAGCGGGGACAAAGGGCAGCAGTCACAAGCGAGACTTCTTGGCTGTTGACAGGTATTAGTCTGTCAGTAGGAATGATTGTATTTTTGATTTTTCCAGACGTTTATCTTCACAGTCCTGAATTACTCCATACAGACTTTTTTTTGTGCTATTAAATAAAGTAACAGCACTTTTTTTAGATTGGAAAAAGAACTCCCTGTATTCATACATCTTGGACTGCCAGAAGGACCTTAGATCTAGTGACGGTCCAGTACTTCAGGCTGGTAACTGACAGCAAATTGACAAAATTGACTCGCACTTTATCAGATTAAACTGACTCAATAATATGTACGAGGTCAGATGAGCTGTGAGTGTGTGTATGTGAGTGTTTGGAGGTAAAGATAAGGAGCAGATTGAACAAATGACCCTTTTGTTAGTGATTCAAAGCAGCTCACGTGTTTGCTGCAGGGCTTTTTAAAAACCCTTCTTGGAATTTTTACCGCAGCTTTCAGTGAAACCTGATGAAGCATAAAAAATGTTGAATGAAGTTCACCAGAAGCTGTTGTGTTGTTTCTTCTAATCTAAAATGTAAAATTTAGCACGTGACTATAGGAATCTGTGATCATGTCCTGCTGTTGTGCCACATTTTACACTTTGATTAAGTGGTAGTGAAGCTAAGCCTGACTATAATGTGAAATAGGCCAAGTTTAAATTTATATTAAGGCGTTTCACATCATCAGTGTGCTTTTTTTCCCCCATATGAAAAAACAAAATAAAAATCACAATGCATTTTTAATGATGTAACAAATCTGATGCCAATTAAAACTCATATATGCAAATATTCACTTTATTTTATTTGATTTTATCAGAAAGTAAAATAAAGTAAACAGTCTCATTTTTTTAAAAACTTGGAATTTTCTGGCAATTATTTCATGGTTCAGGCTTTAAAAGGTAAGTTTCTTCTCTCAGCTTCAAAGGGTTGGGCTCTTCTCAGTGCTAACTCTCTTCCATGGTTTTTTTTACTCATTCCTCTTTTTTTCCTCATGTGATGTCAAATAAATCATCTATTTGAGGGATTATACAGCAACCAAAGGGTTTACAGTGCTACAGTAACATTCCCTGTTTAGATTAGACATTTTTAGTAGTACTCCATCGCACTCTGCCATTAATGTGTGTGTAGCATGAGGGGAATAGTGGTCTCTTCTACAGAGTCCTTGTGTTTAAACTAACTATAGAAGCCTGTAAGTGTGTTTACATGATCTTAATGGGAATCTGTAGCCTGACTGAACATCTATATAGCTTGTGATTGATGACTGGATTATACACAGCTCCAGAATGGCCAAATGTTCTATTCTTAAAAAGATTTATATCACAAATTCTTCCTCTGATTTTACTAATATAGATCAGAGGGAAATGAAAGCTATAAAGAAAACTGAATGAATGGCCATGCTAGCATGGAATCATTGTGGTCTAATAGGCAGAGGGCAGACGTTGGTATGAGCTGGAAAATCTGCTTTTTATATTGCGTGATGGTCTCATGTTGTGTGGATTTCATGTAAACTAACACAAACTGTTACCAGTATAAGGAGCTTGGCTTGAGAATTTTAACCCCTGTATATGGTACGCTGCCATGTGACCATGAAACTGGAGCATTGCGACGCGGTGGAGTATTAACACACAGCTAGCATATTTGTTTTGTTGGTGCAGCATTGAACATGTCAAAGCGTACAGACGCCAGCCCCTTTCAGATGAGCGCTTCTTTCCATTGATCTGATGGCATCTGAACGCATCGGGCTAGATGAGCGTCTGACTGGGCACTCTGGTTACTTTTCGCCACAGCGATCTAACTCGCTCAGTCAGAGTGCGAGGTGCGGAGGGAGCTACTGCATCACATGCAGCACACACACGCTTACATTGATTTAGTTACTGAGATCGATATTAACATATATATTAACATATATAGTTACACTTAATGAGTTAATGCTTACAGATTTCATTAATATAGGTGCAAAAAGTATTTTCTCACGAGTGCAATGGTGCTCTCCACCACTGTCACTGATCTATCTGACAGAACATTAAAAGTGACCTGTGTCAGAGTCACTGCAAAAAGCTTATGTATCCCATGTTGGAAAAGCCCAGCTGCTTGCTTTTTTTTGTGTCTTGCCAAATTGGCATTTATTACTCAACATGCTGTAACAACAAGCATAAATGCACTATTAAAGGTGGTGGAAAGAGAGAATATTTTACTTGTAAAGGTGTTGTAAAAATGTTAATTGCATGTTATCTCTTACTACACAGATTTTATTTAAGTGGTTTTTCTCCCTCCTTTGTGTATACATTCTCTCCGCGTTATCTTTTATGACTGGAGGGCATTTTTGGACTGTCATTAGTGAGCACTGCAGATAAATCTATCTCCCTCAGCTGTTGTACCATATTTGGCTTTGAGTGTCAAGTGGCCAGCAATTGGTTTACTGATTTCATCACCTGTCTTGTGATTGAGTCTTTGAAGCACACGGGGTGTGTGTGATTTAATTTAGCAACCTTTATGGGATGATAAGTTTGTTCAATTTTCTGCCTGATTAGATTTTCCACTTTATGGGATGCTTCCCCAGATCAGCTGGAGCTCCAGCTTTCATGCAACAGCGTCTCTGTGTGTTTATGTGCAGCTGAAGAGTTTTGCTTTGGACATGTTGAGAAAAGTGGTTAGCGAGTTCTTAGAACGACCCTGATAAACAAATGGGTAATGCAGTAAGCTGTTTGCAGTTCTACTTGTGCATTTTATTATCATTGATTCTTCCTTGTTTTGTGTTCACAATCCCTAGAAGTCACTGGCCAGTTCACTAAAACTCTTATTTATAATCCTTCTCTTCTAATTTCTCCCTCTCTGCTCTTTTGTCCTTCAGTCTCCACGTGCATAACCACCTGTAAGAAAGCAGCTCCTCCACCAGTGCCACCCCGTACAACCTCCAAGCCCTACATCTCAGTGACCGTGCAGAGCAGCACAGAATCGGCCCAGGACAACTACTTGGACCAGCAGGACAGGAGGTCAGAGGTCAACAGCCAATCTAGCCACGCTCAAAGCAATTCTTCTGACAGCCTTGACAGCACCCGTGCCAACAGCCTGGCCCGGGGCATTCCCCGCCCTCCGCACATCATCCCCACTCCTATTGCTACCCCGAGAGAACCAATTGCCCCCGCCACTGCAAATGCTTCCACTGAGACAAGTGACTCTGTAGTCCAGCACGAACCCCTAAAATCGGGATTTAATAAAGGAAATCTTGCAGCAGAGGAGCCCCTAGTAGTCCCGGTGCCCAGGCGGAAACTTTCCTCCATTGGCATACAGGTACGACAGGGGTGGCTGTACCACTGTTGCACAGTTGTGTAGAAATCAGACGTTAACTACACATCTAACACAGAGCGTGCCAATAGTCACATGGTTGACTGAAGTGTAACTCGTTTTGCCTGCTGAGCTTGAATCCAGGAAAAAGATAATTTTGTTCATGATCTCTAAGTGTTTCCCATCAAACCTAAAAGGAAGTTAAAGGTCTCATTACTGTGACTCTCGCTCTTTCATTACACCTGGCGAGAGCAATCTTTTTCTTTTTTTTTCTTCTTCTTCTGTGGTATTGAAGCCAAACCACATATTTTTGCTTCACCCTCTTCTCACTTTCTGTTCTGAAGCGGAAGTATTTTATCCATTTTCCAGATCCGGCTCTCAATGACTTGTTTAGAACAACCTTTGGTTTCGGCATTGTATTGAAACCAAGCATAAATTATACAGTTTTTTTTCTTTTCCGTTTTTCCACTAATGTTTTGTTTTGTCACTCTGGAATGCCAGCTAGTAGCCATTGCTCGGTGCCATATTAATTGATTCGTGATTGTAGTTTTGACAATACTTTGACTATATTTTTGTTTGTGTCATTGTTCCTTACTTTTCAGGTGGACTGTATTCAGGAAGTTGCACGAGAAGAGACCCCTCCCCTGACCAGATTTCAATCAATTGGAGTACAGGTGGAGGACGGGTGGCAGTAAGTCCTCTTCCTGTCCTTTTAACAACGTGAGGAATTTATATTATAGCCACACATACTCCTCTGACCGTTCTTTCCCTTTCCAGGAGCTTTGTAGATGTTAAAATACCCTCATTGTCTTTGTGTGTTGTGTTTTCAACATTGAACCATATTCCTTTAATGAATATTAACTACTCAAAGATCCCCTCTGGGCATGTTCAAATAAACAAAAATATTAATCATGTGTAATGTATGGGGGGGGGGGGAGAGAATTAATTACTCGCCTAGAAATTCTTAAAAGCCTCCTACATTGAATTCAAATTGTCAAATATGAAGCGATTTTTTTGTCTTAATTGAAAAGTTTAACTGCTGGTTGTAAGGCTCCTCATTCATTACTTTCTGTGAGTGATAGTTGTGCAGCAGACCAAAATTATGTTAGTTTGCTAAAGTCTGTCTTTTGAACTCAACTTGTAGCAAGTAAATGTGAAAATAGTCTTGAAGTGTTGCACTGTGAACATGCATAATGCAGTTAAATGTGAAATGTGCACACAATTTAAACTTGCCACAGGGTGATGACTCACACTGTTTCTACAGATTATATTCAAGTGCTGCAGACAGTCTGGAAAGTGCAGATTGAGTGTTTTACGCATTTATTAGGCGTGTATACAATCAGGTATCTTGTATAGTAAGTGACTGTCTGCTTTCTTGTCTGCTTACAGTCTTTTGCAAAGTGCTTGAATATAATCAAGATAACAGAGAACAGGGCAAATGCACGTCTGTCTCTGGCAGCTAGTTTTGGCTACGCACCACGGGAAACTTTAAATATGTCTCTGTTTAACGTGTGGTTAAGATTCATTTGTTTGGTGCAGTGCATTCTGTGACTTGTTTGTATTTTGCTGGTATTGTGCTATGTGACTCTGTTATGTCAGTTTTGGTGCAATGATTCTGTCATTCTTCAGGGGTTTTTTTTCTCCCTCTTCTTTATAATATTTCATTATTTGACTGAACGCAAACCTCCTTATGTTCATTTTCTGACTGATAACAGTAATGCTCAGTCATTGCATCCATCATATCTAATCAGCCTTAGAAAAACAAGAAGCTAGAGTTTCAATCCTCACAAATCATTCGATGCTGGTCTGAGTGCATCATAATGTATGCAAGACCCAGACTCCATTAGATCCTCTGTATTTATAATGTCTACATTGACCAGTGGAATTGGCTCACTGTTTAAACTAAGAAAGACCTGTTTGTTCCAGTAAGGAGTAAACAGGTTTTCTTTGTTAATGTTGTGCACATAAAATGTCACAATGTTCTTCTAATTATGAAAAAAAGCAAATTTATCACAGTGTCAAATACTTTTTTTCAGGCTCAGTCACTCCAGCAGCATGGCCTCAAAACACGAAACAGACTCAGACACGCAGGACATCTCTATCATCTCCCATGTAATTAATGCCAAACCCACTGAGAAGAAAGTCATGGTCAATTGTGCCAGTCAGTCCATGAGCTCCCCTCCTGGACGAGACTCTTTAGACAGCGCCGACCCCACCTCTTCACCTCCACCTCCCAGGCAGATTCTCAACCGCTCCACCACAAGAAGCAGCTCTTCCTCTTTCTCGGAAAGTCTGGACCCAGCGTTGGACCCCTCTTCTCTTCCACCGCCAGACCCCTGGCTGGACAGCGGGAATAACAGCAGTGTCCCTCAGAGCGGAGGAGGGGGAACGCTGTGTCGGAGGGACGGCCAGTGGTTCTTGAAGCTGCTGCAGGCCGAGACGGGACGCATGGAAGGCTGGTGCCAGCAGATGGAACAGGAAACCAAAGATAACCAGCTCTCAGAAGAGGGTAAGGATGGCAGAGTGCTCACTGTAACACAGTTTTCTCATTGTTTAAGTGCCTCTGCCAGCTGGAGAAGGTTGCAGAATAGGAAAAGCAGAAATCAGTTTACTCGGATATGGTTTTGGTTGTGGTGACACATTTTGTTATTGTCTGGAACAGAGAATATTAAATTCAAAGCAGAGCCTATGACTCCTGGGTATTGTTGTGTACCACAATGACAGGAAGAAAAGCAAAATTTCTCAGAAATAAACATGAACTAATTAAACCTCGTGACCATAAACCAAATTCACAAGTTCATTGCACTACCGGGGATAGTTTTGTGTGCAGTAACATAAAGGAAATTGTTTAAAAATTCATACGTAAATCAATCAGGACACAGTCCTGAAAAAATCATAACCCTGCGATTGCTCTGGTTTCCTCCCACACTCCCAGAATAATAGACTGAGCTATGGTGGCCATAGTTTTATCGGTCACATAAACCCTAAACGGTCAGTTTCTCCAGGTTAGCTCTGTGATGGGCTGGTGACCTGTCCTCTCCACTGCCCTAAGTTGAATGAATGGATGGCATATTCCAAAGAAGATATTTAGGGTAATTGTGTCATGGCACATGTCTGTCTAGGTTCTTGTCCTGGTCATCATTATTTAAGTAGCTTAGAAAGAGATTGAAAAGAAAAAACTCAACTTTTTTGAGTTTATTAAAGACATTTCACCTCTTATCTGAAAAACTATGTTATGACATAGTTTGTCCAGTAGGATGCGCTCTTACTCTAGTATTTACAAGAGTCAGCAGGAGTAAGCAGAGTCTGCAGCACATGTAGTTGAGTCCACTTTACAGCTCAGCAGACCGTGGTGCAGAGGTGATTAGGGCTTTCATAGCAGGCTAAGTTGCTAACTGTGATCAGGAGTAGCTTTTTCATACATAAAAATGTTTTTAAGTAAAACATGTTTGTTCTTTATAGTTTTTTGCAGATAAAGTGGTTGCATATGTGTTACTGCATAGGGATGTTTTTCATTATAAGCTAGAGATACAATCACACAATTAAAACACATTTTTTTCCCATTTAAAATTTGAAACTTTCTATGGTTGACATAGCCATAATTTAAACCAGAAAGTTCCAGAAAGAGCACGCCCAGGCTAAATGTCAAATCACTAACGAAGCGCTTCAGCTCAAGCCAAATTCTTCCAAACGTCTGTTGTTGTCTCACTCCGGCACTTGGTCTGGAGCTCCGTTTATAGGGTCTTGCCTCAAGGCCTCTTCTCACTCTTATCAGAGTTGCACAGCATGGCAGGGATGAGGCGGTAATACCTGGGGTTACCACTCACAAACCGGCCTCTAATCTCCAGAATTACACAAATCTAGTCTGGACCTGATTAAACCCCCAGATTAGATTAATGCCTCCACATCAGCCTGTGGCATAGAGCAAATACACACAGTACACACCGCCAGGGCTGTGGGTGGTCAATGTGTGACTGCATATACTTAGGTGTGTGTGTGTGTGTGTGTGTGTGTGTGTGTGTGTGTGTGTGTGTGTGTTTTTTCCAGACCCAGGCGACATAATCACTGCATGTCAAATCTATTATACTATTTATGATTATAGTGTTGACTAGCAGCCGCAATTTTGTCAGGACAGATGTTTGTCCTGATTTTTACAAAAAATCAAAAGACTAGCATAGTAACAAGTGACAGACAGAAAGCTAGGGTATCTATATAGGATTACATTCCTTTAAATAGGATCACAATGTCCAATACACTGTAATCCCCGTCATGACGTCCTGTGGAGTCTGTTAGATTCACTGTTTCCTACACCTACGTCTAGATCCTAAAGTTTTGCTTTGTATGATAATGTTCTGCACCAAAGAAAAAAAACCCAGTGAGACCAACTGTATGCAGGTCAGTGTGTAAAGTGCCACTATGATTTCTGTCTCTTCTTTAGGAGGTAGAAAGAAAGAAAAGAGAAAATCTTCAATGATTGTTACATTTTTTTTCTCTCACTGTAGTGCTGGGGAAGATTCGCAGTGCAGTAGGAAGTGCCCAACTCCTAATGTCTCAGAAGTTTCAGCAGTTCCGGGGACTGTGTGAACAAAACTTGGTGTGTATATCGCCTTTCTGTGATGATTCCACTTTGCAGGCTCGCTCACGAGACTGAAAGTCCCAGCTAGTTTCTTGTACCCGTTACCAATTTGGGAATTTGTTGTTGTTTTTTGTGTGTCCACAGCAAGAGCTGCTTGCTTTGATGATTACAAAAGCTTTCACACATATGACAACTAATCTGATATACAGCATATTAAGCCTACACACAACAAGTCATTGGGATCAACCCACACAAAAGAAAAGGAGCTTAAAATAAAGAAATAAGCCCTTGTTTTAGTAAAAAATGGCTATATGCTGCAGACTTTACAACAAATGCTGCAAAGTAAGAAATAAAGAGCGACTACGCGGTTTATCTAGAATATATGAATATAGATCACAGCAGTGATTATAAAGCTGCATAAATGTAGTGCACAGAAAAAGAAGGCACAATCTAAAAGCCAGCCTTCCCCAAGCATTACAAGCAGTGGCTGTGTGAGAGTAAAAGATCTCAGAGCAGCCTTTACTTCATATCGGGCAGTATCTGCAGGTTTAATCAGCAGAATGATCATAGAGGGAACGGTTTGATTTGACACTAGATGCTGAGTGGTTGCGTTCTAGATCAAAGTACTGAATTTATCAACGTGGGAGTTGGAAATGTATGATGTTATTGAAATGACTAAAACCAAACCATGCTGCGACAGTAGTCCCTCCAGCTACACAAAAAGAGTTAAGCTGTGATGTAGCTCCCTCTAGTGCTAAATATGAAAACAACAGCTTTTCTGTGCCATAACTCTTGCTGGTCAAAGTAGGCAGTGCTATTATGCAACGTCTGTCCTCCTCCATTGATATTTTTCTTCTTTTTCTTTTTTTTAAATTTAATAAGAAGATAAAACTCTTGAGAACTAGAATACCTTTTTTGATCTTGTGTTGGCCAAGAGAGGCAGCGGCTTAATCAGCAGAACAATACACACACAACAGGCACACATTTGCATTATAAAATAATGGAGGCCCCTGGTTTGTTCCTCAACACCCTAACACATTTCCTGTTATCTGAGGGTGCCGGTTTGGGTCTTCTTCCAGACCTTGTCAAATTGGTGACACATTTGAATAACTTGCATATGTTTGTTTGAGCTGATGATCTTGGAATCTTCATTGTCTACATATGACTCCCATCTAAATTGTAAATAGCATTGTTGTAATCCAGCTAAATGCATATTAGCAGCAGTTCTTTCAAGCCTCAAAGGAGGTTGGTTTAAAGCCAAAAAAAGGGGACGGGTCTGTTATAGTTAAAAGAAAAGAAAAAGGAGCAACCAAATAAGGTTTCCGGGTAAGAAACAGTGCTCATTTTAAAACCAAACCTAGAGTCAGTGCTGTCTACTTTCTAGTCAAACAGCTGAAGGCTTCCATGGACAGTGGTGGTATCAGCTGTGGTGAAACTACAATACACTAGACCTCAGTCTATTGTAGTACCCTGAGGTTCCAGTGACAGACTGAGTGTGATGTAAAGAAACCATTCCACCAAGATGATGGCACATCACGGACATAGATACCGCCCTTTTACTTGCCAAGATCATTTCAAATAGATTTAGCCAACTTTTACATTTTCAGTGGTTAATTTTATTTGTGTTTATTTATTTTTCATATAAAATTTGTTTTCCATTTTCACATATGCATCATATTCCTGGACAAGACTTCTCTGGTACACTGAAAAGGCTGAAAACAGGCAAATTTGTCAGAATCCATCTTTAAAGGCTACACCGTGATAGCAGGAAAACAAACTAACCCATAACCAGAATGAGTTTGATTCACACTCTGGACAAAAACTACAAACTCCAAAAAGAAGTTAAGTTGTTTGGGCTTAAGGGTAGTAATAAAAAAAAAGAAGAAAACTGTTTTATTTTTAACAAGGTTTCATCAGCAGTGTAACACTTTGTACACTTAAGCTTTACTGCAGTCAGCTTTTATATCTCATGATTCTTTTCTCATTGTAATATTCATTACAGTGTTATATAGATTACATGTATTGTATTCTTACTCCTCAATCATTTTCATCTCTCTTCTGGTTAGAATACAAATGCCAACCCACGCCCTACAGCCCAGGACCTGGCTGGTTTTTGGGACCTCCTTCAGCTATCCATTGAAGACATCAGCCTCAAATTTGATGAGCTTTACCATCTCAAGTCCAATGACTGGCAGCCCGTGACATCTGCAGCTGCCCAGTCAAATTCTGAGCGGAAGGTACTTCCCACCCCTGCTGCCCAGTGCCCTGGCTGGGGTAGGAAAGCCGCCGAAACCGGCCTCTCTCCTCCCACCACCACTACCATTGCTCCCACTCTTCTTTTACCCCGCATCCCCTTCGTGGGATGAACTCTTACAAGGCCTCCCTGTCCAAAGGGGCCAGAGTGATCCCTGTAGGCATGCATGGAAAAATTAAAACATCTCAAAGAGGGCTGACGCTTGTGTGTTTTTATGTATGAAGCCCTACTTTGAGCATGCATGTGTCATTTTTCTGATCTGTGTGTTGCAGCGAAGCATGGCTGAGATGCGCTGGTTCATGTGAAAAAATTCTGGCTTTTGTTATTTTAAAGTCTGTGTGCTTGTGTGTCCTTTGTTGATTGTTAATAAGTAAATGTGTGTATATGTGTCTCTGCGCCTGCATCTTTATGTCAGTGGCTGTTTTACCTGTCACTGAGGTGCTTTTGCTTCTGTTGCTTGTCAGTATACGTGCATCGAGTGTGTCTTGTGAGCCTTATAAGTTAAACTTAATGTAAACTCCCCATCAGTTCATGTTACCATTTCATGTCTTTGAAAATTGATATTCAAATGACTGTTTAGTCTTTCTTTTCTCAGTGTCTGTTTTTCAGTTGTCTGTACTGTCAGTGTCTCTGTTTATCATGTAAAATCACTGTTATTTCAATCTTAATTGAAGAGAATTAGCCCTGTTGGAATGTCTTGTCAAAGTCCTGTCTGCAGAACTTGTCTAAACTGATAAAGGACCTTGATGTTTCTTGATTACATTTTCTCACTGGATGATATCTGTCTTTTCCCCCTCTTATCTCCTCTTTTCACACATTACTCTTCCCTCTCTGTCACTTTCTGTCACTCCCAACACGACAGGACGAGGAGAAGGCGGCGTCAAAGAAGCCTGGTAAGGTACGACCACCGCTGGGCCGCGAGAAGAGTGCCGACTCTTCATCCAACTCTTCCTTGAGCTCCGCAGAGAAACAGCGACAAGAGGCTCGCAAGCGTCTGCTGGCTGCTAAGAAGGCTGCCTCGTTTCGCCAGAACTCGGCCACAGAAAGCGCAGACAGCATCGAAATTTACGTCCCTGAGGCCCAGACTCGTCTCTGAAAGAAACTGTGAGAGAGGGCCATTGGGTTGGAACAAAGGACAGTTAAGTGTCAGTTAAACACCTGGAGAAAGGAGAGGAAGCTTTTGCAATGTAAATGAGCCATCTCAGTTGAGATGGGTATGGGTGGAGGGAAAAGAGTGGGAAATTCCTGAATTTGGAGGGTTTTGACACATTCATACAATAATAGGCTGGTCCTGGTGACTTCAAATGAGCAAACAAGTCATTGAATATTTCTCGGACCCAACGGACTTTGAAGCAGGAGACTCCTCATTTGAGTCTTGCCATTAAGAACCTCAGCTGATGAACTTTATCTTTTCTTGTTACTGTTCTTGATATCATCATAAAAAATTGTTAAAGAAGGTATTGTTATAATGACAATTATATCCTAAAGAATCTATATGAAGACTGTTTTAAATGTTCCTGTATCTCGGCTATAAGATATTTTAAGCAGACAGAAGGCAAGCGTTTATGCTTTTCTGTCCTCCATCGTCCTGCTCTCTTCCCAGACCATTGGCCATCTTGTAGCTTTTGCACAACACCGCCTTGTGGCCATCACAGACACTGCACACATACCACAAACTCACCTCTGTGTGTCTTCCTCCTATTTATTTGTTTGTTAACTTTCTTCACGATTTGAGTTATATAAAAATCAGTTTAGATCAGGTTATTACAAATCGTTTTGGTGTGATGAAACTGAAAGTCAGGTTTAAAGGGGTATTTGTATAGTTAGCAGTTACCTCTTGCGTATGTCCTACAGAGTGGATTGTGTCAAAGATGTTTTTTAACAAACTTTAGGTTTAGTGTCTGAATGGATTTTGAATGAGAACGCATCCCAATAATCAGGCAAAGCTTGAAGACATTTTAGGATACGCACTACCGCTCGAAAGTTTGGGGGGTTTTTGAAATGTTTTTGTTTTCTTTGTTTTGTGAAGAGAAGCTCACTTGTTTTAAGCTAATGTAGCACTGACCAGCAGAAATGTTATAATTGGCAGCAATTAATTAAAATTACCAACATTTCAGGCATACATACCTTCACTCCTGTGCTCTAATGGCATGATCCCTAATACCAGTTTGTCATATTAAAAGAATAATTATTAGGAAACATAGCTGACAAAACTTGTGCCATTAACAGAAGCCATTACATTACATGCCATTACATTTAATGTTGTTTCTTTCACTGTGGATTAGATGTTTAAAAAGACCTTTTAGATAACTAAAATAAATTGTAAAAAAAACTGGGGGGAATTTAAGACTATAACTGAAACAATTTTGTGAACTTGGAACACTAATAAATATATAGAGGAGATATCCTTAATTACTCTCTGTTAGTTATGTCAAGAAGAGGCTTTGATGTGTTTGAAACTCAGGATCTCTGGACACTGTGAACCAGCTGCTTTCAAAAAGTTATGTGATTTTATTGTAATACCTGGACTGATTTTCCTAAATCTTGTCTTTTACTTATATAGTCCATATAATATTCATTTAAATAAACACTAAAACTAAACATTTTCAAAGAATAGAAACTACCGGTAAATTGAAATAAGAGAATCAGCCCTGGGAAAATAACTGAAAAACAAACAGTCAAAATAAAAGGTAATTGGAAATAGCTGAAGCAGGTCCAGATATTGCTACTTAATAAAAACATTTATTGATTCATACAATGTTTTTTTTTTTTACTACTCAGAGAAGTGCAAACCAGCTCTAAAGAGAACAGAAAGAATGAGATAAAACCCTGTAGATCATTGCGCTAGGAGATGTGAATCAGAGTTTCTAGTCTTCTATTGGCAGCTTTATGAAATGGTTCCCATAAGAGCCAAATCATGTTGGTTTGTGAAAAGAACAGTACACACTGTTTAACTTTTCAGGCATGTAATAGGTAGTTCCCTTTTTTAAGAGAGTTTTGAGACTACTCTAAAACCCATAAAGGCTGATCTATCAGGCTCTTAACTATCCAATATTTTTAATCAGCGATACAGTTTTCATAACATTATCAAATAGGTCAGGAGCACACTGCTTGCATTACCAGTACCATGTTTGCTTCTCGTGTTAAGTTAGAGCAGTCTGCCTGAGAAGCACGAGTCAGCACTCTGCATCTAAAGACCCAGAGTGTCAGTTTTTTTTTCTCCCCAAGTGAAACATGCAGCTCTCAGCAAAATCAGTGAAAAAAATAATCTATTTATAGTCATGTTGTCAGGCTAGCAGCACTATAACTGATATTTTTGGTATAATTTAAAGATGTGGAATATATCTGAGAAACGTTTTTCACAAATGTGGAAAAATGCAAGCTAAATAAAATGTCATTAATCTGATATAATATAGAAGATAATTACCAGAAACACAACGAGGGTTATAATTACATTATTATTGATAAGTTACCAGAGTCTTTGACAGGGAACATCTTTCCTGGTGCACTCTTTCTTTCTGAACTATGTGTGAGCCACAACACTTTATCGAGATAGCTGTCATGCATAGATAGAAGTTAGGTTGCTAACTTGTACTAGCTGATGTAATCTGCCACTGGAGCACAGGATTGATCCCTTGATATAGATTCCAGTAATGATTGATTAATACATTTTGATTTGCAACATTTTTGTAAACCTTTACTTTATACGCAGCGTAAGGTTTATCCTGCAGCTGCCCTAAATTAACAGTATTGGCAATTACAAAAATCTTTTTTTTAATGTTCGTCTAATGGTTAATCCACCGGCATGCGCACGCTCTTTAATAAAAATGATGTGTTTAATTCTAAATATAATTATTGTTGGTAACAATGAATTATCAAAGTTGTTGTTTCGCAAAAGAGATTTTTAAAAAAAAAAAAAAAAATTAAGATCCCTAATAACTGTTATTTGCTTGCATTCATGAATTAGTTTTTGTGTTTGAATGTTATAAGTCTGATTAATTTTGGACTTGTCTGAGAGGTCCAGTGTACCAGCTCAAGTTTGGGTATATTTTGATTGGTCATTTTTAGTTTTATACATGTTTTCACAGATGTGAAGTGGGAGTTTTGCAAAATTACCTCAAACTTTTGAGGGGTAATGTTTACCCGACAGAATGACATGGGGAACTATATACCGAATATTTATTCCTGTTGTTGGGACGAAATCTTTCACTCCTCCTGGTGTCTTTTGCCTTCTCTTTTCCACTACCATAGCATTTTCTCTTTGTGCTGTAACTGCAGATACATAAATATTTGACTTCTTTAAGTGCTTTCATCTAGGCTTCATGCAGCAGGCACAGTGTGCAGGTTTCGTGTTTCCAGAAGTGTTTTTTGATTTTATTTTGCTTCCCATCACTCAACAAAATAATGAAATCAAAGTTCATTGTTACATTATCCCCCCCCCCCCTCCATCAGAAGAGCACCCAAAATACCTGCACTTATTTTTATTCAAAGAAGACTTTCTTATTAAAGCATTACATACATTAGTGATTGTGTTTTCATCATTTATTCAGTTGCTTTTTTTTTCTTTCCACTGAAGACTGCGTAAGCCAAAGATGAATTCACTGTTTTAAATTCATCTTGTGTATTTAAATGTCAGCTTCAAGGAACTCAAGTCGACTGTGAAAATAGATTAAGTACACTGTAGCCATAGCAACATATAGATTTAAAGATTTTGATAAGTCCGTGTTTGACAGCAGAACCGGCCATCACTTGTGGATCAAACCTCTCCGTTTGGTTCATGAACTTAGGAGTTTGCATTTTGAAAAGCATCGTTTCTGAAGTCTGCAGCAGCAGGGGCTGATTTTTTTTTTCACTTAAGAAAACATATGATGTCTCTGCCATGTGTTTACAGTGAAATTACATAGCTGGCATTGCATAATTTGCATGAAGGGGACACATCGCTTTGATTGCACATATCCCCTCACTTTAGATTTTTACACTGCGAGTAGCATACCGAACCAGCGAGTCACCCCTGGCATGCCTTAGATCAACCACTGTCATTTGCCTGTCTTCCACTTTCAGTTGGTAAGCAAACAATCTCCAACTGTCCTCTCCTAATTACTTGCCACTGGCCTTAGCTGTTGCAGTGTCTGTTTCTCACCTGCTGTGAACCAGAAGTACATAATTTGAATTGGAAATACCTAGTAATCACCACTTCTCACCTTCGATTGCTCACCATTCTTTCGCTGTTGTGTTTGCCTGCTGGAGATGTCTCTCAGCCAGAAAAATGGCACAAAGGTGTCAATAGTTGGCTCCGTGATGGCTGTCAGTATACCCCCTTCCGTTTGA